CCCCAAAACCCCAAAACCCCAAAACCCCAAAACCCCAAAAGAAATATAAAGTATTGAAAATTCTTAAATTATTCAATAAAAATGGTTAACCTCAAAGTCCAAAAAGTGCAATTGCCTGATCTTAGCATTCCGTCTAAAGGTCCTTCCAAGAAGAGGTCTCCCAATAGCAAGGCTGCAGGGAAGATCTTTTCAAAGAAGCAGGTTTCGAAGAAGATGAAAACCAAGAAGAATGAAGATCTCAAATGAGACTTCCTCCATAATGTAAATTCTTAGATTAATATACTTAGATTCGAAATGGCAGAAAAGTAAATCCTGTTGTCCCAAGGTTCAGAATTAACAGAGGTGCAGGGAAAGTCAATCCAAAGGAATTAGGTTTGAATAAAACCTCTGTTATGAACGCAAGGAAGGGCTTTAACATCCCTATTATGAAGAATGTCACTGGAAAATTATTCAAGAAAAGGATTCCAAGGCCACCCGGAATCAGCACTAAGAAGAAAATTTGTTCTCCTTACTCACAGGTAAGGCCTTCTAAACTAAGATCTGCTGTAGAGCTAAGAAATAATTCTTTATTTTGCTTCCATTTTTTATAAAAATAAGCCTTATGAATGAGATAGAGTTCTCCTTTTAAGATTGTGGTGACAATTTCTATAAATATCCTTTTAGCTCTTCTTCCATATTCCTACTCATTTTCGAGCAGCAATATTATACCTAAATTACAAGCTGTTCTAAAGCTTTTAGGAGGTTAACTAAGTGTATCAAGTGCAAGAGATTTTAAATTTTACAACACTATTTTGTGCTTATGTTCTATATATATTTTTTTCTCAAAATTATTCTGTGAAAATTTTGAATAATTCCATTGATCAATAATTAAGAACTTCTATCTCTGGTTAAAAGAATATGTTAATTACCTTACACTCCAAGATTCTTGAGAGATGGTGCTCAGCATACTTATTGAGAACTCTTTATTCTCATTCTCATTAATCCTTAATCATCAAGATATCTGAGAATTGAGCAAGAGTTTGAATCTCAAATATCTGTTATTAGAGTTTCCTAACAGACTTATAATATAGGCACGATTACCCAGTCCAGGCTTGAGGAGTAATTTCAAAGGACTGTCTCCTGCATCGAGGAATATTTTCACTCCAAAACAGGTTTTATCCTCAATTTCTCCTGCCAAATATGAAGTGTTCACCAAAGATTGCACCAGGCAGAGTAGCTCAAGATATGAGACCTCTGAAGATTCTTTTGAAGAAGAGGTAAAAAATCGATATTTTATCCCATTAATATAAAAAGTGTCGACTATTACTTTAAATTATTACATTTTTACCTGTTTTACTTCAGATTATCATAACTTTGCTCTCATTGCTTATCATTGATCCTTAACTATAAAGAGTATCTGAAATTAGCAAAGTTGATTGCCAACCAAAGTGCGAATAGATTAATTCTGATTTATATAGCATATTGTGATGCTTTGGTATTTTTCTCTAAATCTATTCATACTGGCCTTGAGCAAATTAGTTTTCACGTCTTGCATTTTCTTAACTCTTTCAACATAAAAATTTGCTTCTTTCTAATTAGCAACGAAATTTATGGATACTTTGCTAGCTTTTCTCAAACCAGCCTATTGTCATACTTTTGAGTGAATAAATATCGAATGTGGCCATTAGATATTAAAGTGACAATTTATAACTAAAGGATGCTTAGAAAATAGTAATAAGAGCTGAAATTATTACTGAATTTGGCACTTTTGCTTGTACCTACACTACACAACTTTTATCCTCACAGAAGCAAAGGCATTATTATTTTAGAAAATTATTTACTCGGATTTCCCTTCAATTTTATGAATTTGTAAATTATGACCATCTGAAATTATGCTCATTATGACTCAAAATGCATGAAGAAATTATAGAAATGGTATAACAATTTTGACCATCCCACCAAATCTTGCAAAGAAGGGTATAATGCTTTTAGATTTTGCTCAATTTCAGGCTATTTTGTATCACTTGTCAACCAGTCTTCAAAGCTTAAAAATTCTAGAAGAATTTGCCAAAAAATTAGGCTCTTGGAAAAATAAGAATTGTCTAAATCATTCTTGCCTTATTAATAAACTAAAATTTCTTAATAGAAGCAAGTTAAGAAAGTATTTATGCACAGAACTGTAAGGCAAGACAAAACACAGGAACAAAAGACGACTAGACCAAAGCCTAGAGACACCTCTAGACAGCTCTATGATTATCTAAATGATGTCAACCACCGCAAAGATAATGAAACAATGAAGTCTCCTAAGATGCATAGGAAGCAGACAAACTTCTTCTATGAAATATCCAAGACTATTAAGGGTAAGACTTTGAAGCAAAGAAGACTTCTATCGCAATATTAAGCATCTTCAGCTAGATTCCTTTGGCTACCAGCCTTCTGGCACTCATCATAACAGCTTCTAACCTTACTATAGGAACTTATGAACAGACTGTATCCAGAAATAATAGGTCCTCCAGACAATATGCGAATGTTAAGAATATGAAGACTTATAAAAAGATAAATTTGTCCTTCATGGATAGCACTTTTGAAAACATTGTGAATGAGTAATGCAGCAGCATAAACATCTTAGTTCAATAAAATTTAATTACTTAGGGGTTTTGGGGTTTTGGGGTTTTGGGGTTTTGGGG